GCATAGGTGGCCAACAAATTGGCTGCTGCTGCTGCTGGGTTGGCACTGGCAGCTGCTGCAGCCAAAGCCCCTGTTGCTGCTGCTTGACTGAGGCCTAAACCTAATGTGTTGAGATTATATCCATAGCTGGCTAATGTATTAAGTGCAGAGGTGATGGCCACCAGGTCGTTGCCTGTGAAGCCAGATAAAACTGCTGGAAAGGCTGCAACGCCAGCAAGGTTAGCATGTCCTAATAGCCCTGCGGCGGCTGCAGCAGTTGGTAACACTTCAGCAGTGTTTGCATAAGGAGATCCGGTTGGATTGGAATTTGCCACTGGACCTGTAACATTGGCATAACTGATATTGAGACAGCTGCCACTCTGTGGATCCTCTTGTATCTTCTGGATGATAAGTTCAACAGCTTTTCGGTTTTGTTCAGGTTCTCCACTCACAGTGACAACCCTCTCTTGCAAGTTGATCCCATCAGGTTTCTGGGAAAGCTGCACCCAAGCCCCTGACTGCTCCATTATAGCCTTCACAGTAGCACCTCCCTTCCCTATTATCAGACCTGCTGTGCTGTTGGGAACTATAATCTTTACCTGTAATTAAAAAAAATACGTATAAATAATACTTCTGTTTTGCGCACATACATTATATTACTTTGCTATCCTAGAAAAAGTAAAATAATAAATTGAAAATTAGTTGAAATATAATTTACAAAAGGTGGAAATATCACAACTTCTAAAGTGACTTTCATCATATTTTAATACAATATATAGTAAAATTAGGATTTTCAAATGAAAAAAGCAATTTCCAGCTTTAAATTATTTTTAAAAAGTTGTCCTTAGTCTTTGTGCATTTTGCAGTACAAGTTCTAAGAAATCAGTATGTTTTTTAGAAGGGAATAATAACTATACATCAATGGTAACATTTTTATATAGCTCCAAAATCAAAATGCTATTGATGAATCTTCGCCTATTGTACTTTAAGAATATCTTTGCTCTAGCATATTAAAATAGAGTGCAGGATTATAAAACAAAGTTAGTAAAAAAAAAAAAAAAAGCAGGCAAGTTCTACCTTGAGCCCCTTCAAAACATTAATTTCATGTTCCTTATTACCTAGCAATTTTTGTGTTATTTAATACCTTACTTGTTCCACAACTAAATTTTCAGAAATGGAGATCAATAAAATAATTAGTAATATTTTACTTTTTCAACTAAACTGATACACAATATATAACCTTATAAAATAATAAGTATTTATAAGTAATTAAACATTTCAATCATTTTAAGTAGGTTAAGGCTATTTGAGAATGATATTACCTACATATTCTATCTAAATTTGTAAAAATGACTATTTTGATTAGCTAGATACTTCTTTTTTTTGGAAGCCATAGCTACATTTTTAAAATAGGGCGTAATACCATATTACTCATGGATACTGAAGAATTACTCCAGTCATATGTATACTTATAACAATCCAATGTAACCATATAAAGTATAATCACTTTAGCCAATTTGTATTGAAATATCCAGCCACAAAAATCAATATATTTTGATTTATTTAACCACAATAAAAGATAAAGTATAGAATGAGTATGGCATCCTCCATAACCCCTGAAATTAATATAGATATTTACATTTAAAGTTGTATTTTGGCAGCACAAAAATACATATGGCAGTGTTTTATGACTCATTGGGTAGATGAAAAACTGAGAGTGTTGTGTCACTGAGTACGCACTGAAGGATTGCTTTCCTTGTCGCAAACATTAACATGGGCAGGCTGAAATAATATGTTAAAATTTGAGAAAGAATTTAGTTTGTATATTTTAATCAGATATTTAATTAGCTCATTTTTAGCAAGTAATACCATGCTATCTTTAAAACGAATTTGGGTGAGAATATTTTAAAGAAACAGAGCTACACATTTTTGGCATTTTGCTCTTGAGGATAGCAAATGGTGGAAGTATGAATTCAAATTCTAGAAAGGGTCACCTCATAAATATATGTACATATATTATTCACATACACACACACATACACACATACACTTTTCTTTCCACACATATAATTTATAATCACAGTAGAATTTTGTTTCATTCAGAGTTGTTTATATAATCATTTCATTTAATTAAAGGAAATCTAAGTTTTCTAGAAACATTTCTTAGGAATGTCAAATACATCCCTCATATTCCATGTGATTAAATGCATTGAGTTTTAAGAAGTATACTGAGAAATAGATTTTTAACATGTTAATTTTGTTCACAGATTTTTATAGAAAATTATTCATCTGAAATGCTGAATTATAGTATGTTAAAGTGTTATAATTAGAAAGTTAAGCCATGATTATATCTTAAAACAATTATAAATATGAATTAGAATCATCCTTATATTTTCACACAAAATATTGAGAAAATTTACTTTTAAGGATTTAAATCCTGAATGCTAAATATTATTATTCTTTATAAATATTACTTTTTAAAATCAGAACAATTTTGCAATAAAATATTGTTGTAAACATACTGCACACCAGTCTCATACTATATCTAATGCGTCCACAGCTTTTTTACTTTCTAAACTCTCGTACTAATTCTATCCTTCCCGAAAGAACTTGCAAATGTGTGCCTAGTACTTACATAATTGCACGTTACCTTCCTTTCTTTTATTTATCTCTTTAATAATTTTTCTTTCTTTTCAATACTAAAAAATTCTGAAATAATGTATAGTTTAGAAGCAGTGGGTGGACTCTTCATGTAACTAAAAATCTGTATCTTTAGAAGTTAAAGAATTATACCATATCATTTATCCTTATACTACGGATGTCTTTATGTAATAAGTACTATTACCTGGAATTTAGTTTATAACTATTTGAAATAACTTATATAAAATATTGTCAGCTATAATTCAAATACTGAAGTGACCCCCAAATTTTGTAGGTATAGCTGGCATTTGTCCACATATAACTAAAGGTGTGTTATAATTTAAAAGAAGACATTAATAATTGCATATTAATATTTATAATATGTAGCACTTGTTAACTTTAGATAGTAATAATTCTGCATAAGATTACTTATCTTAGAAATTAAATTAGAAATTAAATTTAGAAATTAAATTAGGAAATATAAAGTTATTAAATTCCACATTAAATGTAAATATTTAATAGCCTAGCCAAGGAATATGTCACCCAACTTTTATTTTTGACACAAAGACATTAAAAGCCTCTTAGATTTACACTATCTTTTTTCTTAAACGATTAAAAATATATCTATATCTATCTGCACACTTCATATTAATCTAATATGGACACAGATAGAAAACAGACCCTCTAATAAGAAGTTGAGACTAAAAATAGTAATTCATTTGTATAATATCTCAGAGACAGCAGTGCTCCATTTCCATTTTATGTGTTAAGTCAGAGCCAGGAAGAAGTGAAACACCAGAGTGGAAGCCTGCAGATGGAAGCCTGCAGATGGTGGACAACTGAACACTGGTTGGAGCATGAAGAATAAGACAGCCTATTTGCTTATTTCTTAGATACAGGAATACAGCATTTACTAAAGGAAAAGTCTGCATAGACAGTGTTTGCATCCCCACTGAAATGATAAATATCAGATTTTAATCATATGCACAGCTTCATTTTCTGTGGTGAAGTTTGTTAACAAACTGACACAAATATATGTATTCTTATTTCTAAAGAACTGAGAGAAAGAACTGGATCTTAAATAGCATACAAATTATTTGATGTAATCTGTACCGAGTAAATCAGGCATGTTCTTGACAGTTACAGATCCGTTTCCCCTTCAGAACAAAGATCTATAACTTTATCATCTATCCAGTCTTTTATGGAAAACTTACCAAGTGGCCCAGGCCCTGTGTTGGGAGCTCGAGATAACAGATATATGAGACACTGTTCCTGTCTCTGAGGAACTTCTAGATTAGTTGTAGAAAACAGATGTGTAAATGTGTCAGTGCAGAAAAGTCTTAAAAGTACTGATACAAGAGACACAAACACCAATTTGAAGGAGAAGGGGTAAGAAATTCTTTGGGGGATGATTATATATATACTATAAATGTCTTTCATATTTTTGTACTGACAATATCCCACTCTTTACTATCAGATATTCCCATAAAATTGCTCTGTTATCTCTGTGTTATAAAGTTCCTGTACAAACCTAAACCCATTTTAGTATTGATAACCTGCAACCACAAAATAGCCTCTATGGGAATCCTATGAAAAGTATTTAAAATAATAAATAGGTAGGTTTTAATATTGATATGTTTCTGATTGAAAATGAACATTAAGACAAACAAATTTATTCCTCTGCCATATAAGAACTCCAACACGTTATGGTCTTATAAAGGTCTGAGAGTGTCTGTAAGGCATCATGTCTTCTTCATCATGGCAGAAAAATTATTGAACTATTTCATTAGCCATACTTTAAAATAAATGCAAAACTCATTCCACTATAATTTAAAATATCCCAATTAATAGTATGGAGTATATTTATTTAGGTTGCTACTTATGTATGGCTTTAGATTTATAAAGCAATTCAATAGTAGATACCTGTTATTTCATTCATTCATTCAGCTACTTACTGATTTGGGATTGAGCATATGACACATGATGGTCCAATAAGAATTAGCATAAGAGTATGGTGAAACTGTTGGGATAGAGATACCTGTTTCTAATCTAGTAAAACAGAGCTTGACATTACTAGTGACTGTCTTCTCATCACATGGAGAGAGGAAGAACCAGACTAAAAATAGTTAACCTATATAAAAGGAAACTCCACAAGTGGACAGAGAAATGTCTGACAGCATTTTGGCATCTGAATCTAATCTAAAGCCAGCACAGAATCAATAATTCCCTTTTGTTTAAGCTGTTTTGAGTTGGATTTCTGTAATTTGCAACAAACCAAATAGTATATTTGAAAATATTATGTTCTTGTTAAATCATGTATTATTTGCCTATTCAAAAGAAATATTGACATTTTATTGTGGCTCTTGATGCTCCAAAAGTCAAGATGTCATAGCTCTGGTAAAGAGATGGAAGTAGATTACTTAAATTATCTTTAATAAAGATATGCCCTAATGATCTAATAGGAGAGGTCTCTTTCATTTCCGTAGTGGTTTATACCTTAGGCTACTGAGACACCCTATGGTAGTGTCCAATGGAGATGCCTCTGTCATTTTGAGGTATGTATATTGAACTAAAATAAATATAAAAATTATATTTTTTCATTTAATATACATTTTTAAAAATATATTTTATTGATTTTTTACAGAGAGGAAGGGAGAGGGATAGAGAGTTAGAAACATCAATGAGAGAGAAACATCGATCAGCTGCCTCCTGCACACCCCCTATTGTGGATGTGCCTGCAACCAAGTTACATGCCCTTGATCAGAATCGAACCTGGGACCCTGAGTCCGCAGGACAACGCTCTACCCACTGAGCCAAACCGGGCTAATATACATTTTATATACATAAAAAAGTGAATCCCTGAAAAGTACTGACTTAACAAAATACAGTGTGGAGGAAAAGCAGGTTTACAGTTGTGAGTATGTGAAACATTGAGTTTATTCTTGTACTATTATTAATT